TTTTTCCATTGATGGTTTTGGCTTCCTTGTCAAACATCAAGTATCCATAGCTGTGTAGGTTTATTTCTGGGTTTTCTATTCAATTCCATTGATCCACCATTCTGCTTCTATGCCAGTACCATGCGGTTTTTATTACTATTGCTCTGTAGTACAGCTTGAGATGCGGGATGAAGATAGCCTCAGATATTCTATTGTTGTTCAGTATCGTTTAGCAATTCTGGGTTTTTTGTTTTTCCATATGAAGTTGACAACTTTTCTTTCAAGGTCTGTAAAGAATTGTGTTGGATATAATATAGGATAAACATACTAAAATATGTACACCTAAGGAAGCTAATTAGGAAGGAGGACTCAGGCTAAGATGCTCAATCCCCAGTCAGAAAGGCAAAGAGGATGGACATCGGAGGAGGCAGAAAACAGAGAAAAGGAAGGAGCCTACCACAGAGGGCCTCTGAAAGGCTCGACCCTGCAGGGTATCGAGGCAGATGTTGAGACACATAGCCAAACTTTGGGCAGAGTATAGGGAATCTTATGAAAGAAGCAGGAGATAGTAGGACCTAGAGAGGACAGGAGTGCCACAAGGACAGCGACAGATGCTAAAAGTCTGGGCACAGGGATCTTTTCTGAAACTTATACTCCAGCCAAGGACCATTCACGAAGATAGCCTGGAACCCCTGTACAGAGGTAGCCTATGGCAGTTCAGTATCCAAGTGGCCTCCATAATAATGGTGACAGGGACTGTCTCTGACATGAACTGATTGACCTGCTCTTTGATCACCTTCCCTCAAGCGGGGAGCAGCCTTACCAGGCCACAGAAGAAGACAATACAGCCACTCCTGATGAGACCTGATAGACTAGGATCAGAGGGAAGGGGAGGAGGACCTCCCTTATCAGTGGACTGGGAGAGGGACAAGAGTTGGGAAGAGGGATGGTGGGATTGGCAGGGGAGGAGGGAGGTCGGTACGAGGGGATACAAAGTGAATAAACTGTAATTAATTAAAAAAAAGTAAAAAAAAAAAAAAGAATTGTGTTGGTATTTTGATGGAAATTGCATTAAATCTGTAGATTGCTTTTGGAAGGATGACCATTTTCACTAGGTTAACCCTACCAATCCATGAGCATGGGAGATCTTTCAGTCTTCTGATATCTTCTTCAATTTCTTTCTTCAGAAACTTAAAGTTTTTTCAAACAGGTCTTTCACTTGCTTTGTTAGAAGTCACACCAACATACTTCATTTTATTAGTGGCTATTGTGAAGGGTATAGTTTCCCTAATTTCTTTCTCAGCCCTTTTGTCTTTTGTATACAGGAGGACTACTGATTTTTTTTTTTGAGTTAATTTTGTATCCAGCGACTTTGCTGAAGGTGTTTATCAGCTGAAGGAGTTCTTTGGTTGAATTTTTGGGGTCGCTCATGTATACTATCATGTCATCTCACTTCTTCCTTTCTGATTTGTATCTCTTTTATCTCCTTTAGTTGTCTTGCTCTAGCTAGGACTTAAAGTACTATGTTGAAGAGATATGGAGAAAGTTGGCATCCTTGCCTTGTCCCTGATTTCAGTGGGATTGATTTAAGTTTCTCACTGTTTAGTTTGATGTTGGCTATAGGTTTGCTGTATATTGTCTTTACTATGTTTAGTTTAGTTTATATATGTCTTCACATATGTTTAGTTATGTGCCTTGTATCCCTGATCCCTCAAAGACTTTAAACATGAATGGTTGTTAGATTTTGTCAAATGATTTTTTTGGCATCTAAGATGATCATGTGGTTTTTCTCCTTCAGTTTGTTTATATGGTGGGTTACATTGATGGATTTCCGTATATTGAACCACCCCTGCATGCCTGGGATGAAGCCTACTTGGTCATGGTGGATGATATCTTTTATGTGTTCTTGGATTCGGTTTGCAAGCATTTTATTGAGTATTTTTGCATCAATTTTCATAAGCAAGTCAGGTCTGCAGTTCTCTCTCTCTCTCTTTGTTGGGTCTTTGTGATCAAGGTGGGAGGCTGGAGAGATGGCTCAGGGGTTAGGAGCACTGGCTGCTTTTCCAGAGGTCCTGAAGTCAATTCCAAGCAACCACACAGTGGCTCACAACCTTCTGCAATAAGATCTGGTATCAAGGTGACTGTGGCTTCACAGAATGAGTTTGATAATGTTCCTTCTGCTTCTATTTTGTGGAATAGTTTGAAGAGAATTGGAATTAGCTTTTTTTTGAAGGTCTGGTAGAATTCTGTGCTGAAACCATCTGACCCTGGCCTTTTTTGGAAGGGAGACTTTTGATGACTGCTTTTATTTCCTTCTGGTATATAAGATTATTTATCTACTTACCTGATATTGTTTTAATTTTGGTAAATGGAATCTATCAATAAAATTGCCATTTCATTTAGATTTTCAAATTTTGTGGCATATAGGCTTTTGTAGTAAGACCAAATGATTGGATTTCTTTGGTGTCTGTTGTTATATCTCCCTTTTTGTTTCTGATTTTGCTGATTTGGATAGTTTCTTTCTGCCTTCTACTTAGTTTGGCTAAGGGTTTGTCTATCTTGTTGATTTAGTTGCTTTTATTTTATGGTTGATTTTGGTCTGATAACAAGAGTAAAGAGGACCCTTAAGCCTTGGGAGAGTGCCTGCAAGGCCAGAAGCCAGGGGGTGAATCATGCAACATGAACATCACCTCCCTCAGTGAGTTAAAACCTCCCTGGGCAACAGCTCTGTGGGAGAAGCTGCCATGCAGGGGAGGAAGAGCATCTCTCAGATTACATATTGTCTGCAGCTCTTAATTATACATGCCCAGGAGGAGAATACTTGAGGAGGCTTTGAGAACTTTTAAAATATGGTCATGGACCACAAGGCCCCATGACAAAGAATGAGACGATGAAATGAAGCCTGTGTATGGCTATGAAGTAAGGGGACAGTAATTATCATTCATCTAGAGTCTGGGATGCTGTGCCTTGGAACTCCTTAAAATATATTCTAAATATGGGCTTGGAGTCCAAAATCATGAACAGTGGATCTTTTTACCTTTGTCTTCATTGTTTCACGTTCCCATCTAAACAACATTTTGTTCATTCCAAAATGGTCTATTTATGAGCAAAGACAAGCCAAAAAATAAAAATAACAAATATGTCAACTTAAAACTTCAAAATTCATCCTTCCCTATCAAAACATATAGCTACTTAAAAACAACCAACCAACAAGCCAAAAATATGATCAACATATCTTTTTAGAACCACCCTAATTTTTTTTTCCTTAAGGCTAAGTCTAAATTAATTAATAAATTTTAGGTAGTATGTGGAATTTTTATACTTCTGCTCATGGAGATTACATCTTTTAAAACATCTTTTAAATTTCCTGGCTGCTATGTCCATCTGAACAGGCATGAAAGAGAAAATCAAAAATGAACTGCAGCAAGTCTACTTAAAAAAATGAACCAAGAAAAACATTTTAAAACAAAACTAAAAACCTTTTCTAATGTTCCACTCAGAGGCTTCCAGAAGCATTTTGATTTTCTGGAGGGAATATTTTGTCCAGCACAGAAATGTCAGCAGGAAAAGCTTGTAGGAATGAATAAACAACTAAGATAGAGAAAAATAAACAGCAAGATAGATTTGGAGCCAAACTTACTGGCCGTTTTTGAGGAGATATTTGACAGAGATTAACAACCCATTAACACCCCCACCCAAAATGCTAACCTGGTAGACAAAGACTTTAAGAAGAGCTTATAAGTTTTTGGTGGGTAAATGGAAACATTTACATGTTACATTTGAACATGGCTAAATGCAAGAAAATGTTTATTATATTTATATATAATATACATACATTATATACATACATATATGGGTTTGCTTCCAAGCCTCAGAAGTGAACCAATTTAGGGGCCTGAACAGGCCTCACTACGGCACCTGCGCTGTGAGTTCTCCTGGTTCAGGGGGATTAAGAAGGGCCTGACCAGCATCAGAAAACAGCTCCACGGCTTCCCACTCCCAGAGCAGGCAATGCGCTGCTGCTCATTCTCAGGGTGTGGGAGATAGTTTTGGTTCGTGCTTGGAAAACCTGTGATATTGGAGGAGGCTTCAAAAAAGGCAATTAAAATTACCAAAGGATCAGAGAAGCTTTTGTGTTAGGGTAGATTCCAAACAGTGAGGTATTCTTAGAGGATACAAGAGAACCTAGACAATTAACTAAATACGTACACAAATACATGCATATACACATGCATACATACGTACATATACAACATACATACATTCATACACAGAATAATCAAAGAATACTCATTTTAACCAAAATCAGTGATCAAAATATCTTTGGGTACCTTTTTTTTTTTTTTTTTTTTTTTTCAGAAGAGTCATAAAATATGGATGAAAAAACCCAGATCTGCTTAGAGAAGGCTAAAGTAAAACAGTTAGAGCCATCTGATAGAGTAGGGCTGGGCTCTAGTATCAAAATCCCCCTCCTTGAGGCCAGTGTGACAATAAATGTCATTTATATGGTAAAATATACCCCCCAAAGCCATCATACTGTCTGCAAGGTTACCTAGTAAAAATTCTAATCTATCGTGTTCAGGGCCTGGTTGTGAAACTCTTTCAACATTGTAGAAGTGATTTAAAAAAAAAATTGAATTACCCAGTGTCTAATTAATTAGTTAGGATAATGAAGATCTAAATGAGGGAAGGCAGATGATTATTGCATGTCAGATATTCACAGAATGTGAGAGACTTGAAAAACAAATATCTCTGCGTGGCCACAAATAGGAAAACCACGACACAGATGAAATGACGGTAAATTAGAGAACTGAGCAGAGACCTCTAAACTCCCTGGACTAGTTTTTATTTTTCTTAAAACACAAAGGCTGTCTAAATCGTCATTCGGGTTTTGATTATGCGGCCACCTAAGAAAGCAGCTAACAGTTTAGTTGCCCTCTGCTCTCATTTGTCTCTGTGTCTGGCCTCATTGTGACTTGAGCACTATGAACTAACACTTGCCTGTCCTTCCATGCCTCCAGCTGATCACCACCCCCAAGGCTGAGAACAACATGTACGTGCAGCAGCGGGATGAGTATCTGGAGAGCTTCTGCAAGATGGCCACCAGGAGAATCTCTGTAGTCACCATCTTTGGTCCTGTCAACAACAGCACCATGAAAATTGACCACTTCCAGCTAGGTGCTCTTTGGCATTTTATCGTATTTTGTTTGTTGGTTTGCTTGCTTGCTTGCTTCTTATCTGTGGTGGGACTGTTAGGAAATGTGTGAATGTGAAGGTTCCACTCGGGTTCACAAATCACACCACGAGATCGGGTCCACGTGGGAGGTTTATTAGGGGAAGGGGGGAGAGGGAGAGAGAGAGAGAGGAAGAGTAAGGAAGAGAAGAAGAGAGAGAAAGAAAGAGAGAGGGGGAGGGTTCCAGTTCTCTTATAGGGTGATCCAGGGCATGTGCAGGTAGTTCCAGGTGGTCAGGGTGTCTTCACAAATGCCTGATAACCGGTTAGGTCCCTTGGAGCTGGCTGTAGAAGTGCCTGCTTACTGATCCCAACATTCCTCCCTTTTTCTATAATTAAAAAGAGGGAGCTTGGCCTGCCTTTTATAAGGTAAGTTAAAGTCTATAAATTTAGGCTCATTGGAAGCAGCTCTTGGTTGTCATGCAAGAGGTTGAGAGAGAGAGGAATTATAGTAACAAAATGGTTAGGTTGTAAGGTTAAGAATAAGAGAAGTCTCTGCCCTGGAAAATTTAGGGTAGAGGGTTGTCAATAGAGAGAGTTGCTAGCCACACAAGGCAGCAGCAGGTAGGGACGGGGGAATGCTGGGAGAACCTGGAGTTGCTTGTCCTGGTCCTGAAGCACACCACTTCAGCCTTTTGTTAACAATAAGTGAATAACGGGCATAGATTCTCTTCTGGCTACTTCCTGCTGACACTAGGGGCGCTGTAGGGAGGCCAAAAGGCTGAAATGTTGGCCAAGTCCAGGAAGAATCAGCTGCTTTGATGCTTTCCAGGGTCTGCAAGAGCATCTATGGCTGGGAGGAAAGGTGCAGGTCCAGCTTGTTGGAAGTCTGTGAGGTCAGAGCTGAACACCTGCAGCTTGTTGGAAGTCCGTGAGGTCAGAGTTGAACACCTGTAGCTGCTTTGGCGCTATTGTGGCTGTAGGAAACATCTGTGTCTGGCAGGACACTGAAACACATATATAGGCAAAAGATAAAGTTGAGTATAGAGAAAATTTTGTAGGTATACATTGAAAGGTTTGGATTGATGAAGCTTGTACATGGGAACCTCTGTCTACCTGGAGGGACCTTTATTTACCCAGTCACTGGCAATATTTAAAGAAGGCTTTGTTTTTGACTTGTCATTGAGGTGAGGTTTGGTTACAGAAGCATGTAAACTTAGCGGACCTAATGCCAGCTGGCATTAGGTGTAGAAACCTGAAATTCTCCAGCCTGTCTGGAGGGACAGGCGTTTGGACATCTCCCATTGGGGGCAGAGAAGTAGAGGAACCGTATGCGAGGGGGGACCTTCCCATGAGTGAGCGAGGTGGGGAAGGAACCCATAGAGGGGGTGTACTCCCCAATGGAGAGTGTGGCCGAAAATGAAAGTCAGCATAGAGGGTCAAACCTAGACAATTAAGGCTACAGCTGAGGGGGGTCCCTCTGTCTCAAAAGATAGTAGGAAGTTGCCAGAGCTCTGTGGTCTGGCAAGAGAGGAGTTTATGCTGAGAAAATGGATTGAACTCACCAATTTAGCCAGTGGTTGCATGTAGTAAACGGCAGTTTGGTAGCCAGGAAAGGAAGTCCCAAAACCAGGGAAAGGGGAGGAGTCCCACCTTTTGAGATGGGCAATGAGTGCAGTACTTATCTGGAATCTAGTTGTCCTGAGAGGTAGATTTAGGTGGACTTTCTGCAGCTTACAAGAATTACTTTTAAGTTTTAAGAAGGAGATAAAACTTTAGACATGTTAGTATTACAATTGTACTCTGCATTGAGAAAAAGGCAGTAGACATACATATGTGTTAACGGCATAAGTACTTTTTAAGGTGAACTCTGAAAAAGCAAAAGCCTTTTATAAAATAAAAGGGAAACTCACTTGATTTTAACCTTTAGTATAAGCATAGACATTGTGGAGGCTTACAATCTTGAGCTTAGGACCTAATAGTGGAATAGTGGTATAGTGGAATGTTTTTGCATCAGAGTTAGATTAATAAATTAGAGTTTTACTGATAAAGGTCAAAACTCTGGACAGTCAATACAACAGTAGCATAACAACAGGAAGAAATATTAAGCCTTTTTGCCTATTTAAGATACTTTAAATCACCTTAGACCTTGTAACCTTTATAACTTGCATTTACCAACCTTAAAACATTTTTTAGAACCTCAAACATTTATAAGTTGCATTATCAAACTTAAGACACTTTTTAAGACTCTCAAATATGTGTAACTTGTATTTTTATAACCTAAACTCCTTTTATCCTTAGACCCTACATAAGCTATATATATTTTATCTAACAGTGGATCTAATTGTCTACTCTTTAGCTGCAAAGCTACCATTAGCTTAGCATAGCCATCAAGGTGATCAGAGACCTGAGAAGGACAAGTTATGAGCTAAATAAATATACCAATCCATGTGCCAATCAAAATAACAGAAATGACTAGTTAGTCCATCACCTAGGCAGTGTCCCTGGCTCCTGTGGTCTCATAACGTCATGGGCAGAGGTGGTCCAGCTAGGCACAGAAGACGAGACTGTTTCTGTGGAGAAAGAAATGAGAGAATGGCCTCACCTCACCCTTAGCAACCTGAAACATTGACTCTCCAGGTGTTTTGGCCACAGTTTAGGCTGGGCCCTAGCAGTGGGACAGTTGGGGCAGTATTGCCCATAGTTAGCATACCACAATCCAGAGTCGAAGTCATCTGTCATTGTGCCCAAATCTTCTCAGAGACCTTGGGGAGCCACTGTCAGGATTTTGGGACTTTCTGTCACAATAAGCTTACACATGTTAAAATGCCATATTCATCAGATCTCTGACAAGCTTGAGGGTCAGCATGTCTGAGTTACTTTGTCTGTCTTTATTATCTGCTCTAAACTGTGTCCTATAAAACAGAATGCTATCTAGAACGATATTTTAAGTAGATTTATAAAGGCAACTTTAGTTACCCACCCTAGGCTTAACCTTAAAAAAACTAAACAAAGACACTAGGTATAGCTCAACATCTTAACCAACTGTAGTTGTTAGCATAACTTTAAATCTGCTCATTTTGAACTAAAATTAAAGCAAACCTTTTAATCAGGTATAGTTTATACAGGAGCTAGCAAATCTTGTTGCTCCTACCACTTGCATTAAAATTAAACAGTAAAAAACTTTGCATTTAGCACTAATCAGACGACTGAACATAACTCAGACCTAAACAAAAGTGATCGTAAACTCATGGCTTTACCCTCTTTATCTCTGGACTAGTGTGGTGGCTGGCCACGTGTAACTGAACTCAGCATCCACGATCCCCATCATTAAAATAGAACTTTGCATTTTGACATGATCCTGTTGGAGCCCAGCGTCTATGATTTGCTTTTTATAGGCAAAGCAAAAACAAGTTACATTAATATAAAGAGGAGTTTTGAAACTGCCAATTTTTTTTTTAAATAACTTTCCTGTAGCAGGTAACATAAAGGTAACATAAACTCTAAGGAACTAGAACAAGTTTTAAGGAACTAGGTGAAAACATGTTTCTCCATAAACAAAGCAGCTTAACAAACAAACAGCTCTCCACAAGATAAATTTTAAAAACTGTAATTTTTTAAATTAGTCCAAACCATATGGCTCAGTTTTACTTAGTAAAATTAATAAAATAAATACTAAAGTATTTTTATTCTCTCAAAGTATCGAGAAACTTTTAAATTTTTTGTTAGACTACCCAAGATCATTGTCATAGCAAAATGCCTGATAGACTTTAAATATTTTGTAGCCTTAAACATTTAAACATTTTTTAAAACCCGTTTTTGCAAGATCAAAACAAAGTAACCCTTTTGTAGAAGTCACAAGGCATAACCATAATCTTAAATGTCAAACCCAGATTTTAAAACCAGAATTTACCAGTGCAAACAATTTAATTTCTAAAACCAATACCAATTTAAAATAACTCATCCTTTTAACCTAGAAGGAAATGAGAATTTTTGACCAAGGTTACCCTTTTTTTTTTTTAACCCATACCGAGATGGCAGTCAAATTATAACCCACATGGTAAAGTCAAGATGGCGGTGAGGCACTGAGGCACTTTATATACCACGTGGTAACCTGTAAATATGCATTCATAGAGCTTATAAACACATAGGCACACATTTTAAACAAGTTTTATGAGGCCTTTTAGAACATAAAACAGAAGGTAGACACAAACAAATACTGCACAGAGACATTGAGACAAAAAACACTAACCAGCTGGCCAAATTTCCCGGGACCAAAACTGACTCTTTTGGGGCAGGCCGAACATACTGATTCCTCGTAGGTAAAGGGCCCTGATGCCCCAGTAAGACACCGAGAGTGGGCTGTTGCCCCAGGAGACACCCAGTGGCACTCACTGGGACCAGGTGTACAGATTACCCATCAAAATACTGAAAATATTGATGAAGCTAGGGGCGTCCCCCTGAACTTTGGCAGCTGTGACCACCTTGATCATGTCTTGCTACCCAGATACAGACACCTCGAGCTCTGAGGAATTTTCAGAACAGAGAACAGAAAGTACTACACATACAAACATTGCACAGAAACATTTAGACACTTACGGCCGGCATAAAAACCTCCGGGTCAGGTTCCTGGAGTCTTGGGGTCCCGGGACGAGCCCCCAAAATGTTCTGCCCGGTTTTCGAACCCCAAAAGACCAGGAATAACTAGACTCCGCTGTAAATAAATGGTCAAAATGCTACATTTTGAATTGATTGGCTATAGGAAGGTTCCCAGACCATTAATGACCAGGTGTACCTCCCTAGGGGGATGGTCCAGTTTCCTAGCAACTGTATCTCTAGTGGGTGCGGAAAGAATGCAAGCAGTGAGGTGGCTCTTCACCTCAGAGCATTACTAGAATTTTTTTATGGTACATATTTTAGGTCTTAATTTAAAATATTGATAAACAATTTGTATGTAACAATGAACCCCTAAGCAGAACAGTATAAAGCAATTTAATAATCTTAT